CAGAAACTGCCAAGCGCCAAAGAATGGCATTCAGCCTGTCCCCCATGGTGTCTAGCTCAGTTTTGCCTTATACCAAGTTTACCAGACATTCACTGAAGGAATTCCCTACCTGACTTTAAATATCCTTCCTGCTCTGAGCCCCTTAGCTGACTGATGGCATTGTCCACAGTCACCCAACACAGTCTTGCCTCCTTTCTGTCTCCAGACATGTCCCACTCATTCTTACCTTTGTGCCTTTACTCACAGTGTTCTTCCTCCCCGGAATGCTAGCCCTACCCTTCACCTTTCCAACTCCCACCCATACTTTACTCTTTATATACACACACACACACACACACACACACACACAAAATTTATTTATTTATTTATTTTTGGCTGCTTTGGGTCTTTGTTGCTGCCCGCGGGCTTTCTTTAGTTGCGGCGACTGGGGGCTACTCTTCGTTGGGGTGTGAGGGCTTCTCATTGCGGTGGCTTCTCTTGTTGCGGAGCACAGGCTCTAGGCATGTGGGCTTCAGTAGTTGTGGCACGTAGGCTCAGTAGTTGTGGTGCACGGGCTTAGTTGCTCTGTGGCACGTGGGATCTTCCTGGACCAGGGCTCAAACCCATGTCCCCTGCCTTGGCAGGCAGAGTCTTAACCACTGCGCCCCCAGGGAAGCCCCCCATCCTTTACTCTTCCACTCAAGCCTCACCTCCTCTAGGAAGCCTTCCCTGGTTGCCTCAATTTACCCTCATCTTCCCCTTCTTCGAACTCCCTCAGCAGTCCAAGTCAGAACCACATAACTGAACGTACACTAATATTTTTCATGGCAACTTTTGTTTGTTTGTTTGTTTTTTTATGTTTGGCTGCGTTGGGTCTTCATTGCTGCGGGTGGGCTTTTCTCTAGCTTTGGTGAGCGGGGGCTACTGTTCATTGCGGTGCACAGGGTTCTCATTGCAGTGGCCTCCCTTGTTGTGGAGCATAGGCTCTAGGCATGTGGGCTTCGGTAGTTGTGGCTCACGGGCTCCAGAGCGCAGGCTCAGTCGTTGTGGCACACGGGTTTAGTTGCTATGCGGCATGTGGGATCTTTCCGGACCAGGGTTCAAACCCATGTCCCCTTCATTGGCAGGCAGATTCCCAACCACTGTGCCACCAGGGAAATCCCTCATGGCAACTTTTTGAGTCTTGGTCTTGTCTCCTCCGGAAGTTGATAAATTCCTTAAGAACAGTTAGGATGTTTTCCCCTCTCCTGCCATCTGCCCCTGGCATGTAACCAGTACTGGGTACCCAACAGGTGTCCAGTGAAGACTTATCAATTGATGTACCCATATGCCTGGGTATGGCCAAGGGAAGCCAGAGCTCTGGCTCTCTTTCTGGCAGTGAGCTTGGGCTGGGGTGAAGAGAAGGCAGGGGACCAGTTTCTGCTGACTTCACTTATTTCTTCACTGCCACTCAGGTCACAGAATTAGCAGGATCTTCAGGTAAACCTTCCTTCAAACTGGACTGGTCCCTCAGTTAATGGTTGACATTCTCTGTTTACCTTAATGATTGCCAAGATCTGTTGCTGCACACGATACATTTTGTGGTTGAACTGCCTTGGCCCCGAGGGTAGAAGGCAATTCTGAAGAGGTTTTGGGGTTCTGGGATGGGATTGAAAATACTTTGGTCCATCCCTAGCCGCTCAGGACATGGGCAATAAACAGAGGGCCACAGAGCACCCTGGTACTGCCATGTGGGGGAAGCACTGCTGTCTCTCCCCTCAGCCTCAAGGAGCCAGTAAGCATTGCCCATTGCTTTTTTGTTGTTGTTTCCTCCACATAGTCATATCATTTTAAAGACTGGGAGCTGAAAGGGCTGGAAGGGATGGCACACATTGGATCTACCTATGGCCAGGGGTGGGGGAAGGCTGAGGGCTGTTGATGAGCCCAGGTCCAGTTCAGCCTCCCAGACTGGGTTAAATATGCATACATGGGTGATGATGATGCCTTTCTTCCTCTGGGACAGGGCAGTAACTTCAGGCTATGTGATTTGTGTCTCCAAAGCCACTGGGAGCTCAGGGGATCAATCTTATTTAATGATTGTGTGTGGGAGGAAGTAGGGCTGGTTAATGTTTGTCTGGTTCCTCTTGGGCTGTGGGCCATATCTGGCTCCAGCCCTGGGCTCTTTGTCCCTTCCCTGGACTGGGCTGACAGTACCTAGTGACATAGTGCAGACACGCCTGCAGACATTCCCTGGGAAAGGGCAGCAGCAGCCAGGTGAGGAAGCTGGGGGCTGAGGGAGGTGGGCCCCGGGGGCTGGTGTGGCCCAAGAGGGCAGAAGCGGGGGCTGGGGAGAGGCCCGGGTTTTGCCTTCTCTTGGGCTCAGCATTCAGCCACTTAGATCCCTTCTCTGCTTCCCTCTGAGCTGGGCTGAGGCCCTTCCCGCCAGGCTTACTTAGTTTCTCTCTGTAACCCCCAACTCATCCTCTTTCCAGGCTCCGTGTTGCTTCTGCTCTCACTCTTTTTCTCCCAGACAAGAATCCCCCTCATCTCCACAGGGTCAAATCCCCAGAAAGACTTGAGGGGTCCCCACCAAGCTCAGGGTGGCCAAGTTTATCTCTTTAAGACATTTCCTGCCACACAGGGTTAGGGTTCGGTTGGGGGGGGGCCCCCTCTGGGCACTGCCAGGTGCTGTCTTCCTTCCCTGATTAGAAGGTAAACCAGGCACGCAACCAACATGGGGGCTGTCAGCGGATGAATACAGTGCACTCAGCAGGCCAGAGGACCAGCCAACGGGGCCAAGATTTTGGAGCATGCGTTTCCATCTTCTTGAGGGAGACAGGGAGACTCAAGCTGAGCTTGGAGTAACTGATGATTGGGAGATCTAAAAGACGAGTGGCTCCCTTCCCCCAGCTGTTTAAAAGTTGTTCCAGCTGTTGGGAATGGCACTTCAGAATGCATGGACTTTTAGAAAATGAGATGGGGAGAGGGGAATAGAGACAAGAGGGATTTGAATGGAGAGAAGTATATATGAGGATGCAGCAGAGCAATGGGGAAGGGACCCAGGCTTTGGTGAGGGGCCAACATGAATCCTAATCTGAGCTCCAGGACTGGCTTACCAGCTGTGTGATGAGTTACTCAGCTTCTTTGAGCCTCCATCTCCTGCTCTGTGAATTGCAGACAATAACCCACAGCTCACAGGGTTGTAGTGAGGATAAGAGTTAAGGAACAGACCACTTCTAGCACACAGTAGGTATTTCATAAATGGTGGCTGCTATAACAAGCCCAAGTAGAGAGCAACAGGAAGTCAGATAGCTGATGGAGGCCTAAGAGGGCATAGTCCAAACAGTGACGAAGGGAGCTGATATTAGCAGGAGTTCTGTGGAAAGACCATGGCAGAGTGAGAGAAGAAGAAAACTGGAATGAGCTAGATTGGCCCTGACCCAAGCCCGGCCACAGAATACGTATGGCAGCGTAGAGGGAACAGTGCAGCAACTGAGGTGCTGTGGAACCACAGGGGGTAGGCAGGGAAGAGAAGCAGGTGAAGAGGCAGAGGGCTGGAGGAGTTTGGTCTTAGCCACGCCAAACTGATGAAGGCAGCCCAGAATTCAGAAGAAAATCTCAAAGAAAGGTCCCTGTCCTTTCCTGGCCAGAGGCTGCCTGTGAAACAGGGGAGGGAGTGTGGAGTCTGAAGCTGAGTGTAACCTCAGCCAGCCCAGCCGGGCCTCTCTTCCCCAAACCAGAAAGACACAAGGAGTTGGAAGGAGGTACAGGGAAGAGGTGGGAGCAGAAAGAGAGAGATAGACTTGATGAAAGTGTGTGTGTGTGCACGCATACCCACACATGCTGGCACATGTGGAAAGGAGTATACATTTTTGAGTTATGGGCCTGGTCTCAGAATGCATTGTCCTTTAAGGAAGAGAGGCTGCCAGTGTACAAAGGCTTTAGGGTCAGAGGAGAACAAATTTGAAATTTGACTCTACCGTAGAGCAGCAGTGCAGTTGTCATTGAGGTAAGTTATTTAACCTCCCTGAGCCTCGACTCCCTTGTCTGAGAAGTGGGTATAATATTAGTTGGAGGCACTAAGGACGATCTCCTGATTTGGAACTGTGCTTGAGTGCTTGGGCAAACCTGAATATGAGGACAAGGCCAGAGCCTGACATGGTCAGAGAAGTCTTGCCCAATTAAACATGAGAGCAAAACACTCCTGGAGCAACACAGAGCATATCAATACCTGGACTTTAACCCAAAGTCACAAAAACAGTTTGGATTTCAAAATCAGGTAAGTCCCCTGGATGTTTTTGAAATGAAACCCTTGAGGTATTGATGTTGACATAGGGATCAGCTCTCCTTCCAAAGGGAGAGCAAAAATTGAGATCCCAGTGCCTGCACAAGGGTCCTTAGGGGACTCAAAGGGAGCTCCTGGCTATGTCCCAGAGGGCTCCAGAAGGTGGGAGGCGGAGAGCTACAAGAACCTAGAAACTCAGGGGTGGCCAGGCTGTCTGTGGGGCACCGCTGAGGGACAGAGAGAAGAGAACACATGAAGTTTGCTTTGGGGTTTGAGGAAGCAGCTGGAGAAAGGTAAGGAAGGGGAAACAGAACAAATCAGGAGGCCCCTGAAAGCCCTGGGAAGGGAGGAGAGGAAAACAGCTGTCAGTTATAGGAAAGGGGAGAAGGGCTAGAGGAGAATAAACGCCAGACCAGCCTTCGATCTCTCTGTTTCTAAAACACACTCATAGAAAGAAAAAATGATTTACTGAGGCAGTAAAACCTTATGGGCTCTGGAGTCAGCTTGACCTGGCTCAAACCCCAGCTCTGGCACGTACTCACTGCATGACCCTTGTGACACTGGGGTAAGTCCCTTCACCTCGTTTCCTTGTCTGTGGCATGAGGATTACAAATAACACCTCCGTCACGGGGTTGTCCTGAGATTCACATGAGATCGTGTGCGTGAAAGGGCCTGGCACATAACAGGGGCTCAGGAAATGGTTATTCTTAGTAATGCTCCTCGACCACCTGTTTTTGACTCTAACATGTCTCACTGGATGAAGCGTTTCTTCCCAGGGTACCTCCGGTAGCAGCTCTGCCTTCAGAATCCCAGGCTTGGGAGAAAGGGCACCTGCGTCCCTGCTTTTCCCATACTGGTTTAGGCCCACAGCATAAACTGGCTGAGGCTTTTTTGTTAAGCTAAATGAAGAAACCTTGTTCAGGGAAGTAATCTATCTCCCATGGGCCGTCCCTTTGTCCCCTAGTTCCTGTCATTCCGTTCCGTTCCCCACAGCTTTTCCAGTTGCTAATACCCTACCCTTTCCCCTACAACAACCGCTGCCCCTGCATCCAGGCCTGTGTGTTCTCACAGCCAGTTCCCGGCTTCCAGCATGATCTCCTTGCAACTTAATGGCAGAAGTGGTGGGAGGTAGAAGGAGGCCTTCTTTGCCTGCCTAAGGGACAGAGGGTAATTTCTTCCCTAGAGCAACCGGCAAGCTCAGGAAACCAGGAGTTACCGTGTATGCTTGACTTGGGGGCAGGGCAGCAATGGAACAGTCTGTTCTGTCTCAGAGAGACACTATAGGTCAACAACAGCATTGGGAAGGAAAAAAGAGGGATATTGGGTTTGGCAGATCACTTAGTTCCTCCGAAGCCACACTGTATTCTCTTCCTGATAAGGTTTTTACTTCCCTTGATCACCAACTATGAAACTGGAGCTGGGCTAAGAACTTTTGCAGGTTGCTTCTTTGAACCTCACCATAACCCTGGGTATTAACCCCATTGATAGATGAACACGGCAGACTCAGAGTTCGGTAACTCAGCCCAAAGTCGTAGCCAGTGAAGAACCAGGATTCAGACCCAAAGCTAGGTGACTCTTACCTATTCCGTCTTCTAACTTTCTGTTTGCTTGCTTAATGTTTGCTTTCTCCTCCTGGCTTGTCCTCGCCTGGCCACCCTCGATATGGGCTCAAGGAGGGATGGTCAGGGTTTGCTCCATGACACTGGGGTTGGACTGTACGCACTGGTCAGCAGCTTCCTTGTTTCTTGTGCTTTTATGGGTAGCATTAGCCTTTGCTTTTGTTGCTGCTGCTGCTGCTGCTGCTGTTGTCATTAACGGCTAGGCTTCGCTTTTGTGGACACCATCAGCAAAAGCACAAGGATTATACGGTGGAAAGAGCCTAGACTTCTGCTGCGGATACCTTTGTGTTTCATCTTACTCAAACACTTCAGCTGTGTGATCTTGAGTGAGTTACTTAACTTATCTGAGCTTCAGCTTCCTCAGCTGGAAAGACTGGGGTAACAGTCCTTAGATGCTTGCTAAATGGGTCAAAAGAAAGAATGTATGGGAAAACGCTTAGCACAGTTCCTGGCTTGATAAATGTGAGCTCCCTTTCCTAAGCTCAAGCTCACCCGTCCTGGAGGAG